GGAGGAATTCCGTTGAGGATTCTTTAATTAAAAAGTTAAACATAACACGGATTGCACTTTTATTGTGGAGTTTAGAAAAATGCATATTTTGATCGGCAATTAGCTGCTTACCTGACTCTAATCCCAATGAAGTTTGTTTGTTACTAAATTCCGACTTGTCTAAGGTAGAGAAACCGTATGGTTTGTGATAATTATAACTTCCGTCTCAGAATGGAGATGTTCTTGGGTCTCTCGAATTTGGGTGAAATTTGACAACCTACAATTTGCGTACCTTTGATAATTTTGTGCATTACTGTTTGGTCCTGCCATGAAATCCTGATTTTGTTAATAAAATGAATTGCAGACTATTAATGATGTGTTTTTGGCGGTGGTATCATCCGGGATATCAAGATACTTGGATCACCGGTCACAACAAGGTAACATTTATTTCTGTAAATTATTTTACTCAAAAGGGGTTTAAGAGAATTACGATGTCTCCGCAATGTCAGACATGATAATGAAAATATTTAAAAATTCTTAATAAATCAAGGAGTAAAAAAGTTTCATTAAAAATATTTTAATAATTTGACAGATATTTTTGTTATTTTAAATATCAAAATATATTGATTTTTACTTTTTTATAATAAAAAACCGGTGGCATCAGATGACTACTGCTTGATAATTGAGTTAAATGTCTACTGTTAGGCCTGCAGAAGGGTCTGCGGATAACGGCAGAAGCCATGGTTAATTTAAGAAAGCCACCTTCGTTAGAGGTTTGTCACAGCTTTCTTAGTTCTTATACTACTATGGATCAATTTGCTTCGAAATTGTGCATTTCCGATCCATTTCCCTTTTTGTATTTGAGAAGTGTTCACATTTGATCTCATGGGAAATGATTGGGGTACTTAACAGGATCTAACTAACTTTATAAAAAACAATACATTACTGCGGCTGGGTAACCAATTCGGCGTGGTTCTCATTCCTATTTATTGTCGCAAAAGTGGTGATGATCCTTTACAATATCTGAAGCAAGCAAAGAAGACAGTGGACCAAAAGAAACATTCATTGGAGGCTCCATTCACATACAAAGTTGGTGATCTTGTGATGTCTTGGTTAGGACCAAAGGTGGGGAGATGGACAGTAGCAAATCCAGAAACTTAGTCTGCTGTATATACTTGTGTTCTTGCTAATGATTTCTTATTTGATTACTTGTTTCCGTTGCAGTATGCTAGCGTGCTTAACTATAGGATAGTCTGCAATACAACCTTTACAATCTCGAATGTAATCGGTCCTCAAGAGCAGATAACACTGGCCGGAAACCCAATAGCTTACATTCGGGTGAATACGTCCAGCTTGCCTCATGTACAGCCTCTTCTCCAAGTTTTAGTTTCTCAGTGACATTCTCTAAACGAACAGAAGTGCTTAATTGGTATATATGATATATAATGGATTTTTGTGACGAGAGTTTGTGTTGATAATGTAGGCACTCACAATGCACATGGTGAGCTATGCAGGGAGGGCTGATATACAACTCTTGGTGGCCAAAGACATTATCCCTGATCCTGAATTTTTGGCCAAGTGCTTTGAAGATGCATTGATTGAAATGAAGGAGGCAGCTATTGCAACTGCTAAATGTTAGAACGTCCCTTTTCTTTTATTTTTATGTACTTGGTGTAGTTTTGGGGTGGACCAAATAGACTGCAAGTGAAAGCACCCCATACACACACTTTATCCATCTGCCGTTAACATCCTAGAGTATTTAATCGAGGCCTGAAACTTTCACTGTCCAGTGAAAAGCATTAAAAAAAAAAAAACAAAAAATCTCTGTTAAACAAAATAGGAATATTTGTAATACCAGTCCATTAATTTTTTAGCATGTGATATTTTAGTCCCAAAACCTAGAAAATTCACAGAAGAAAGTATAGATTGTAACAGAAGATTACAAGAAACTTGTAATCAAATTAGGCGATTAACTCTATTGGATGAGGGAAAAAGTCTAAGCTGAAGTAACTTGTAAACTTAAGAATTTGACTGCCAGTTGGGATTGGGAGACCTTGATTTGCTCCATGTGGTGTTTCTCCGTATTAGCATACACTACTTTTCTAGTTGTGCAGCTGGAGATGAGTGTGGAGGGCTGGAGGCCTTTGTGGTGGAGTTTGACTGGATAGCCGGTGCGACACCCTCTTTAGGGACGGACGAAAATTTTTTGCACTGAGTTCCAAAT